AGAACAGAACATTGGGGAGGGGGGGGGGATTTAATTTTTCATCATCTTGATTTTCTCCACACTTGTGTGGTTTTTGTGGTTATACCACCAGCACTTGTGTACACAGCATATGTACACTGCTGAGTAATTGGAAAAGGACAGGGGTACAGAAATCCAGCCGTCCCGTCGTTCCTGGCAACATAAATATTACTGGCACCTAGGTTGCCCGAGGAGTACAGGAAACAGGTTATTTATCTCCATGCATCTTGCTGTTTGTAGGATTTAGCCAGTGCTGCCTCTTCGATCTTCTGTTTGTTATCCTTGCCTTCTTTTGCAATTTTAAAAAATGTTTTATAACTCATTTTGTCCTTCTTTTTCTCCTCTGGTCTCCTTCTCTCATACATTTTGCAATACTTTATCCCATTTTAGCTTTTTCTTTATCCATCTTCCCAATGTTTGTTGTCTGTTGTTGTGTGCCTTCAAGTCATTTTTGACTTAAGGCGACCCTAAGGCAAGATTTGTTCAGAGGAGGTTTGCCATTGCCTTTCCCTGAGGCTGAGAAAGTGTGACTTGCCCAAGGTCACTAAGTGGGTTTCATGGCTGAGCTGGGAATTGAACCCTGGTCTCCAGAGTGTCCAACACTCAAACCTGTATGCCATGCTGGCTTCTCTTCCCAACGTACCCTTCTCTTTTAAAATAAAAACCATTCCACCTGTTGCTTTATAGTCTTCCATGTTCAAGCTAAACTCAGCATCAGAATTTCTTTTTCAACCCTAGGATCAATGTGGTACAGTGGTTAGCATGTTAGATTGTGAGTTGGGACTTTGTGGTTCTAGTACCTAAGTGAGCCATGAAACTCACTGGATTACCTTGGACCAGTCTCTCTTTTTCCTTCTCTCTCTCTTAGCCTGACCTACCTCACAAGATTGTTGTGAAGATACCGTGGGGGAAAGAGAACCATGTATTACTGTGAGCAAATTGGAGGAGAAGCTGGATATCAGTGCAATCAATAAACAGTTACGAAAATGGAGAAATAGCCATGTTTAGTCTGGAAAATCGGTATGCAAAGGGATCTTGTAACATCTTTGAGACTAAATGAAAGAAAAAAGCTGGTAGCATGAGCTTTCAAAGACTTGGTCTACCTCCTTAGATGAAAATAGTATTAACCAGGAACACTCAGGAACTTTTTCAAGCTCTTGCATGAACCATTAAACTCTTCTTGGTGTGTGTGTGTGACAAGTAAGAATACACCAGTGCACTACTGCAAGTGGATTGAGGACGAGTTTGTGAAGGTTACTTTTTTGAACTACAACTCCCAGAATCATGAGCTTTTGGGGAGCTATAGTCCAAAAGGTCTGCATTCAGGACCCCATTTTATTTTTACACTATTCATCAGGGATATGACCAGACCAGAGAGTGGTATAGACCTCTGCATCTGTACACACACACACACACACACCTACCTGTCTCGAATTGTAGGCATCAGTGCAGTAATAAAGAGACATGCATACACATGTGGTGCGATTGTCCAAAGGTTCAAAGATTTTGGCAAGTTATGATACAAAAAATTAATAGTGGGGCCTTGGTATCCACTGGAATTTGTTTCCAAGATCCTCTGTGAATACCAAAACCCATGGATGCTCAAGTCTCATTAAATACAGTGGCATAGTGAAATGATGTCTCTTATATAAAATGGCAAAAACATTTATACCGGTATATTTAAAAAATATTCTCAAGCCATGGATGCTTGAATCTGTGGATACCAAAGGCTGTATAATAATTAGGAAATGTTGGAATTGAATAAAGAAAATGCATAATGCCAAAACTTAAAGATATGGGATTAAAGGAGGAAGATTTAGTAAAGTAGTTATTAGAATCCAGAGAAGCAGTAATTGCATATGGATGGAAGTATGAATGAAGGTGGGAGTTAGGGAAATGGATACAGAAGTATGTAAAAGAATATTTATTTTGGAAAGAAGAGCTGTTTATAAGGCCAGAATAAAAAGGAGATAAGGCTAAGAAAGTGGAGAATATTAATACAAAATCTAAGTATGTTGAGTATAAGAAAGTGAATGAGACAATTAAGATGATATGCCACATAAAAGGAAATGGATACTAAATACGATTAGACAATTCTGGGGGAAGCAGAATGGGGTTCCAGGGGGGTATAGGGATGCAATTTAAATAATTTGGCTTATATTAATAATTATGTAATAGAAATATGTATTGTAATAAAAATCACTATAAAAAAAGAGAGGAAAAATGACTGGACTAGTGAGATGATGTGATTGTACAGAATTTTGTTTGTAGCAAGCTAGTTCTTCTGGTGTAGCTAATGAAGGAAGGATGTTATTGTACTTGTAGCTACACAGTAACAACAAAGTGGTCGAATTCAAAGATATAATCGTCTTAGTCTGTAGAATCAGTTATGTAGAGAGATCTTGTAGCACCTTTGTGATTTGCAAATGCATCTGAGGAAGTAGACTTAAGTTTACGAAAGCTCATGCTGCCAACTTCTTTCCTTGAGTTAGTCTCGAAGGTGCTACATGATCTCTCCGTAACAGCAACAAAGGCAACCAACCTTAAAATCCTTGCTACCCAGTAAGAAAATCTTTGATCCAAAACGAAGGTATTCTATTAGAACCTCTGACTGCATGGCTTCAGTGATCATCTTTCTTCTTGTTCCATGTTTTGGACCATAACTTTAAGAAGGACGTGTTCCATGCATTTTAGAAATGCATCCACAACATGGATGGAACGGAGGCATTTGGCAGAGCAGATCAGGTCATGGGCAGAATTAATCACCCGTCAGCCACGTGGGTGTAAAACTTGCCTGACCAGTTAAGATTGGGCAATGCCCGGGAGAATTTATTCCTTGTAACCATTGCATCCCATTAAAAAGAGACAGGGTTGTAAAGCAGGAAGTGTCAGGAACACTGGGTTGGTCCAATTTGTTTTGAGCCGGACAAATTAATTGGAACAGCTTTCAAAACAGTTCTGTGGCTTCAATTCAGCAAACAGTAGTCTATTCATGTCATCTGTATAATGTGTTAAGTGGGTTTTTACATAAACAAGATTCCAATGGCTTCTGCTCAGGCCTGCCCCCTTCATTGCCTTCTTGAGTACAGGCCTGTGTTAAATCAACACAGACCCCTGTGATGGATAGCGCAGATCCATGGCTCTCCCCAAAACAGCCTCTTTTTATAGGAGCGCCTTCTTAGATCTCTACAGCTCAGAGAAAAAGAACTTAATGTCTTTCGGTTAGTTGCGTTTCATCCTGAAAGGCCTTAGAGTCATAAAGTTGGAAGAGACCACGAGGGTCATCCAGTCTGACCCTTGCCATTCATAGACAAAATCATGATCCAAAGAAATGGCACAACCAAATGAATAAGGGCTTAAAACTCTACTCCTTGATAGACAGCTGCTCTCTCTCTTTCTAAACCAAAAATGGGCAGCCCCTTCCTTAAGGATTTTGTGCCCACAGGGCTATACCTGATAGTTTACATGGCTTACCTCTGCCCTGAGCATTTGTGGAATAAGCACATTTTATTTTCTCATGCCTCAGGTTTGCAAGCTTCAGTGTTTCTTGCATGCTAATTTTTATGTAGATATTATAGGTCTTGCCAAATAACCTTTTCACACTTCACATTCTGACTTTTTTTTTTTTAAAAAAGGCCCTTGGTCTAAACTTTGGATTAAGCTGTAAGGATTTGGAGAAGATTTGTGACAAGTTACTCATGCTTAAACTGGAAAAAAAAAAATTCCGACACTTGGCTAGAGTATGTGGCTTTTCAGAAGACAATATAATTGCTTGAGTGTTTAAAAACATGCCAGTTTTGATGTCCAAAATTTATTTAAATGAAACTGGATCTCAACCAGCTAACAGTATGTTTTTTAAAATAATAAATTATTGTTTTGTTATAGAGGCTACACAGAATCATAGAAGAGTTGGAAGAGACCCCAAGGGCCATCCAGTCCAACCCCATTCTGCCATGCAGGAATTCAAAATCAAACCATCCCAGACAGATGGCCATCCAGCCTCTGTTTAAAGACCTCCAGGGAAGGAGACTCCACTACTCTCCGAGGGAGTGTGTTCTACTCTTGAACAGCTCTTACTGTCAAGAAGTTCCTCCTAATGTTGAGGTGGAATCTCTTTTCTTGTAGCTTGCATCCATTGTTCCAGGTCCTCTTCTCTGGAGCAGCAGAAAACAAGCTAGCACCCTCCTCAATATGACATCCTTTCAAATATTTAAACAGTGCTATCATATCTCCTCTTAGCCGTCTCTTCTCCAGGCTAAATATTCCCAGCTCCCTAAGTCTCTTCTCATAGGGCTTTATGGTTTCCAGACCCTTCACCATTTTGATCGCCTTCCTCTGGACATGCTCCAGTTTTTCAACATCCTTTTTGAACTGTGGTGCCCAGAACAGGGCACAGTATTCAGGTGAGGCCTGACCAAAGTAGAATACAGTGTCACTATTGTGGAGTCGAAGGCTTTAATGGCCGGCATCCATAGTTTTTTTGTGGGTTTTTTCGGGCTGTGTGGCCATGTTCTAGAAGAACTCTTCTAGAACATGGCCACACAGCCCGAAAAAACCCACAAAAAAACAGTGTCTATTATTTCCCTTGATCTAGATACTATACTTCTACTAATGCAGCCTAAAATTTCATTGGGCTTTTTAGCTGCCGCATTACACTGTTGACTCACGTTCAACTTGTGGTCTACTAGGACTCCTAGATCCCTTTCACACGTAGTCTCGTTAAGCCAGGTGTCCCCCATCTTATATCTATTCATTTCATTTTTTTGCCCTAAGTGCAGTACCTTACATTTCTCCATGTTGAAATTCATTTTGTTAGCTTTGGCCTAGTTTTCTAATCTAACATGTTAGATTAGAACTTTCAGATACATCAATTTTAATTCCCTTTAATAAAATGCCTTAAGCAAATGGACAACAAAAGGTAAGGCTGAAGAAAAACAATAAATAAAGTTTATCATGTAATGATCAAGAAAAGTTTATCATCATCCAATGTGGTATAATGGTGTGAACATTGGACTGTGACTCTGGAGACCAGGGTTCAAATCCCTGCTCAGCCATGGAAACCCACCAGATGACTTGGGGCAAGTCACATGCTTTTATGTTCAGAGGAAGACAAAGGCAAGCCCACTCTGAAGTAATCTTGCCAAGAAAACCTTAGGGTTACCATAAGTTGGAAATGACTTGAAGGCAAACAACAACAACAACAACAACAACAAGAAGAAAGTTTATCATGTAGGATCTGATGGCTGGCACTCCTTAGTAAGACTGGGAGGGAGAAAAACATTTTAAAATACATTTTTAATTTATAATTTTTATATTGTAACATTAATTACATGAATAAATGATAAACTTTATCTGAGGTACAAGTACAGGTTGGGTGTTCCTTATTCAGGATTCTGAAATCTGAAATATTCCAATAATCAAAGCTTTTTTCATGGGTGGCTGAAATAGTGACATCTTTGCCTTCTGATGGTTCAACATACACAACATACACAAACTTTGCACCACACTCAAAATTTACTTAAAATATTGTATAAACTTACCTTCAGGCTATGTGCATAAGGTGTTGCTAAAACATAATTTAATTTTGTGTTTAGACCTGGGTCCCATCTCCAAGATATGTCATTATGTACGTATATGCAAATACAGGTATTCCAAAATCCAAAAAATCCCAAATGCTTCTGGTCCCAAGCATTTTGTTTAATTGATGCTCAATGAGTATGATGTTTCATGGGTGGATTTTGAAAATTTTTCTCCTTTCCAATTTTAACAAGGAGTGCCAGTCAACAGACTGTACAAGTAGATTGCTCTCACCCCCCCAACTTTAAGGAACTTGTCTCTAGTGTATAATGAAAATAGTATCTGCTTTCTGTTGAGAAGTGCAAGGGACTTTCCTCAGTTGCTCTGTTTAACACAGATCCATCCCCCTTTAAGTCGTTTTTTAAAGTATATATTTGAAAAATGCTATCATGCTTTGCCGGGTAATCCTCTTTCCACTAAGCTAAAGTTGTCCAGGTCTTCTCAGCGTTTGCCCATATGTCCCAGGCTCCAAAGCCCTTATTATCTTGATGACTGTTCTCAGCTCTCTGAAATGCAACATGCAACAAGACTAGGTGCCAAATTAATAAAAATAATAAAAATTAATAAAAAATTAAAAAAAATTAAACTCCAACTGTCCCTATTCACCAGGACCAGTCTTTCTTATCCAGTCTCTGTGTCTGATATATCCCTTTCCAGACCTGATGCTCACATTTATGGGATATGTGTGTTGGCATCGGTAGCTGCTGGGCTTGATATTCACCTGGGGGTGGCTCCTTCCACAGGACTGTTTCCGAACGGATGCAGTCTCATTGCTAGTGTGCATGCAAAGGAGCATGTGCGTGACAGACACTTAAGGCACCATCTGGTGAAAAGCTTGCTATTTCATACACCCCAGCTGCTTCACCCTGCATTAACTGTTGATAACCTACTGTGGGACTGTTACTTTTTTCTTGAAAGCAAAAAGCGTGCACAGGGTGGGACAGGGCAGTACTTAGTTTTATTTGACAAAACACAGTCTTCTCACGGCCCGTTCAAACAGGGGAGAGTTCTTGGTGAAGTAGAACCAGTGATTGCCCCATCCCACCATCCTCATACCTTCCAACATTTCATAGAATCATAGAATCATAGAATCATAGAGTTGGAAGAGA